AAAAAAAAAAAAAAAAAAAAAAATTGTTGTAAAATTTCTTTCCAGTCACTTATCTATTGTTTGAATTTTTCTGTACAAAGGTTTTACTTTGACCTTTAATCTTGCCTTATTCTTCCAGTTGTAACTGATAGGTCACTAGTAATTAGATAGATACTGTTTCTTGAATAGAAGTGAATTCTACCACTTAAAGTTAATTTGAAATTATGCGTGAAGGATTAAAAGCATTCTGATGACAAGAGTTATGACACACCAGAATCAAGCCAACTTGTAAAGTATTCTCTAAATATAAATAATAGGTCAGGTAGCTAACTTTCTGTGGTGGTTTTACCTGTTCTAGAAGTAGAGAAATACAATGAAGTTTTTCAGGTCCCTTTCTACCTGTGATTCTAAATGTTGAAGTTATCTGGACAACTAAATGATACAAAAAATAATATGGATTTCTTTCAAGTGTGTCTCATTTGCCTGTGATTCATTGCATTCTTTTGTTTCTTTTTAGACCAAGTGTTCATTTAGCTTATTCCGGGATACTGGCCATCATTTGGTTCAAAATAATAAAATAGGAGGAATTACTTCTCCACTTACCAAACAAGTTCTTTCTAAGAATCTGAAAGAAGATAAAACCGTCAAAGAAAAGGATATAGATGGAAGGCTTAGGCCTGGGGATATGGTAGGTTGTTGAGAAGGTGATGGTTTTGCCTATTTTATTACATTCCAGAGCCTTACACTGATTTCTAATTTGGTGAATTGTATTAATATAGTTTGCATTTTGATGCAGTATAAGTATCATTGTTCCTGCCATTATGAAGACCATATAAGCATTCAAATTTTGAGATATGTTCATTTTCTTTTAGCAAGCAGCTAGTATAAAATCTCAGAGCTCAGATACGCCGTTGGAAGGTGAACCCCCTCTAAGCCATAATCCAGAAGGACAGGTAACTGTGCATAAAGTTTTGGAAAATTAAGTTTAATTTCATCAGACCTGTACTGAGCAAGGCAATTAGAGTGGAAAATGCTCAGGGCAGGATATAAGTTCCCATCTGTATTTGCTCATGACTAGTTTGTGACTTTGGGCAAAGTTGTCTTGCGAAGATTCTATAAAATGAGTTGGTATCAGTTTAACTTTAAAGTCCTTTCCAAAATTAAAGTTTTATGTCTTTTATTAATTCTACCATGTTAAGCACTATGACAGATGCAAAGATGCACCAACTGCAACATTTATTCTTCTGTCCTCAGGACACTCAGCCATCTAGTAGGAGAAACGGACTGGTACATAACAAACCATAACACATAATTTTGATGAATGCTGTAATAGAGGTACAAATAAAAGTTCTGTGTGGACTCAGATGAAACAAAGATTAATATCTATTAGGATGGGGTAGTCTCAGGGAAGGCTTTATGGAAGAGGTGGTATCTGAACTAAGTAGTGAAAGATGAAGAGAACTTTTTGCCAGATGAAAATGGAGGGAGAGACAGTTCAGGGCCAGAGAACAGCTTTAGTCAAGGCACAGAGAGAATTTGCAAGGACAGAATTTAGGATACATCTATTAATTCAGTGTATGGTATATAGAGGAATGAAAAGAAAGGAGAGATTCTAGAAAGAGGGGAGAAAGAGTCAGGTTATAGAAAGACTTTAAAGGCTTGTTAAAAAGATTGGGCTTTATTCTGTAGCTATTGGGGAAACTCTCGAGCCTCTTCTTGGAGAGTCACATCAAAGGTTTTTAAGTCACGTAGAAATAGGACCTTATATGTACTTCAGGACAGAATTCTTACAAGAGTGTGAAAAAAAGAGATTGAAGGTGGAATAGGGCTACAGGTTTTTCTTGTAGTACAGATGAGTGTTGATGACAGTTTGATTTAGTGCAAGGGTAAAGAAAGCCAGAAACCTGCAGAAGCCAGGTGTTTGGAATTGTGAAGCTTTGTATGTATTATTGATGAAGAAAATTTAAAGATAATTCAAGTTTCAAGCCTTACTTTCTGGAAGGATGACAACTCCATTAAGAGAAAAGTCAGAAGAGAGGTTGATACTGGGAAAATGAGAAGTTCAATTTGGACACATTGTATTTAGGATGCTGGCAAAAATCTGAGTAGAAGTTTCCAGCAATTAAAGTTGGTAGATGGTGGTGAGGAGACTGAGGGAATGTAAGGTTATAAAGAAAGTATTTTTGCAGGACCCACGAAAGAGGGTTGCTGAAAGAAAGAATGAATTCACTTAAAACAGTTCTAAGGAAAGTATTATCAACAAGTTAAGCGGCTTCAGCTGAGGTAGAAGTTTCCAAGAATAAAATTGAAAACCCTTTCCTCCAAGAGATAACCACCATTGCAATATTTATTTACAATTATTTTTCTATATAAAAAATATTTTAACAGTTGAGATCATACTATGTATGTAGTTATATCTACAGTTTTCTCCCATTGTATTGTGAGCATTATCTTATGTTACTAAATTTTTTTCATAATATCTTTTTTTCTGGAAATAATAAATGACAAAAAATGTTTTTACAGCAATATGTAGAAGCAGGGACATACATTGTGTTGGAGATTCAGCTGGACAGAGCCTTGGTTCCAAAACGAATGCCAGAGGAACTAGCCAGAAGGTATGTAGCAATGGTTCTCATACTTTTTTTGCATAACTTGAGTATAACTAAGAGGAAGTCAGTTTGTCCCCATAATTGTAATTTTCCCTGGGATAAGCAGCAGTTTGCTGGGTTTTTTCCAGATGAAGTTATTGTTGTCATTGTTACTGTATTTCTTTATTACAAAAGCATTGTATGCTCATTACTAAAAATGGCGATAAGCAAGAAAGTATATAGAAACATCCAGATTTCTACTCACCTAGTGATAACCACTTTTAATACCTTGGTGTTATCCTTCTGGAGTTATTTTAAAGCCCCTATATTACACATACGCACATAAGCACACACTCCCATGTCACATATACATATATATAATTTTTTAAAACTACTTATATTGTACCATAGTGCTTTCTTTGCTTGTGTGTTACTAGGAAATTGTGCATTTCATCTAAGTTGTCCAATTTTTTGTTATATAATTGTTCATAGTATTCTCTTATAATCATTTTTATCCCTATAAATCAGTAGTTATGTCCCCACTTTCATTTCTGATTTTAGTAATTTGAGTCTTCTCTCTTTTTTTCTTAGTCAATCTTGCCAAAGGTTTGTGATGTTGCTGATCTTTTTGAAGAGCCAACTTTTTGATTTTGTTGATTTTCTCTATTTTTTTCTATCTCTATTTTAGTTGTCTCTATTCTAATCTTTATTATTTCTCCTGCTAGCTTTGAGCATAATTTGCTTTTCTTTTTCTAGCTCCTTAAGGTGTATAGTTAGGTTATTTATATGAAAGCTTTTTTCTTCTTTAATGTATGTATTTAGAGCTATAAATTTCCCTCTTAGCACTGCTTTCCTGGTATCTCTTAAATTTTGGTATGTTGCTTTTTGTTTTCATTTGTTTCAAGGTTTTGTTTTTTCTAAAATTTCCCTTGTGATTTATTCTTTGACCCATTGGTTGTTTGAGTATTGTTTAATCTCTACATATTTGTGACTTTGTCAGTTTTCCTTCTGTTCTTGTTCCTATTACTAATTTCTAATTTTATTCCATTGTGATCAGAAAAGATACTTCATATGATTTCAGTCTTTTTAAGTTTATTAAGATTTGTTTTTTGGCCTGACAGATGGTCTTTCCTACAGAATGTTCTATGTGCACTTGAGAAGAACGTTCTGTTGTTGGGTGGAGTATTCTATATATGTTTGATGTGTCTAATTGGTTTATAGTGTTGTTCAAGTTCTTTATTTCTTTATTAATCTCTTGTCTGGTTGTTTTATCCATTATTGAAAGTAGGGTCTCTTTTATTGCAGAACTGTCAATTTCTCCCTTCAATTCTGTCAATTTTTACTTCATAAATTTTGGGGCTCTGTTGTATATGTTTATAAATGCTATATTTTATTGCTGTATTGAAGCTTTTATCAATATTTAGTGTCTTTTTTTGTCTCTTGCAACTTCTTTTGACTTAAAGTTTATTTTCTCTGATAATAATATAGCCACCCCAGCTGTTTGATTACTATTAGCGTGGATCTGATTTTATCCTTCAACTTTTGACCTCTTTGTGTCCTTATATCTAAAAGGAGTGTCTTGTAGACAGAAGATGGATGGATTCTGTGTGGTTTTTAAAAATCTAATCTGTCAATCTCTGCCTTTTAATAGGAAAACTTAATCCATTTAATCCATTTAATGATTACTGATAAAGAAGGATTTCTTTCTGCCATTTATTGATTTGTTATCTGCATGTCTTATGTTTCTTTTAATTGACTTTTTATTTTTTATTTTTTTAGAGATAGGGTCTCACTCTGTTGCCCAGGCTGAAGCACAGTGGTGTGGTCATAGCACACTGTAACCTCAAACTCCTGGGCTCAAGTGATCCTCCTGCCTCAGCCTCCCAAGTAGTTAGGACTACAGGCACACACTAACATGCTCAGCTAATTTTAAAATTTTTTGTATAGATGGGATCTCACTTTGTTGCCCAGGCTGGTCTTGAACGCTTGGGCTCAAGCAGTCTTCCCACCTTGGCCTCTGAAAGTACTGGGATTACAGGTGTGAGCCACCCAGGCTATATGTTTTTTGTTCTTTATTACTGTGTTTTTGTATTTAGTTGATTCTTTGCAGTGTATCATTTGGATTCCCTTCTTCATTCCTTTTCTGTATATTTTGTAGTTATTTTCTTAGTGATTACCCTGGGGACTACAATTAACATCTTAAACCTGTAACAACTTAGTTTGAATAGTACTAACTTAGTTTCAATACTATACACTCTGCTCCTATACATCTCCATCTCTCTCCCTTTATATTGTTATTGTCACAGATTACATCTTTGTACATTGTATGCCCATTAACATGGATTTATAATTATTATTTTATGCATTCATTTTCTAAAAAAAGAGGAGTTACAAACCGAAAGTACAATAATATTGGCTTTCATGTTTACTGCATTCTTTATTTCTTCATCTGGCTTTGAGTTACCAACTAGTGTCTTTTTATTCCTGCCTGAAGGACTCCCTTTAGCATTTTTGGTAGGATAGGTCTTAGTAACAAACTCTCTTACTTTTGTTTCTATGGGACTGTCTTAATGGTTTATTCATTCTTGAAGACTAGTTTGCTGGATATAGAATTCGTGGTTGATAGGTTTTTTTTTCCTTTTAGACTTTAAATATGTCATTCCAGTACCTTCTGACCTTAATGATTTCTGATGAGAATCAGCTTTGATTTTTTTTTTTTTTCGAGACAGGGTCTCACACTGTTGCCCAGGGTAGAATACAATGGTGTCATCATGGCTTACTGCACCCTCAAACTCCTGGGCTCAAGCAACCCTCTTGCCTCAGCTTCCTGAGTATCTGGGACTACAGGCATGTACTGCCACACCCAAATATTTTTTATGTTTTCTGTAGAGACCGGTTCCTGCTGTGTTGTCCAGGCTGGTCTTGAACTCCTGGACTCAAACGATCCTCCTTCCTCTGTGGAGAGGGACTCTCCCAGCCCTTTGTCCGAGCTTCCAACAGTGATCTGGGTAATAATCCAACAATCTGCACAGAGATAATCTAGCAACCTCTTGGACTGTGATAATCCCAGAGCAGGACAACACAGAACATTACAGGCTTGCAGTGCATTTGCCCCTCTCTTGGTGAGTCAGTCATCTGGAGTAGGTCACAAAGGCACCATCTAGGGACCTTTTCTTCTTCTTACTAAGTAGGAGAATTCCCAGCAAAAGAGAACAAGTACACTCCAAACCTGTCTGCCCTCAGCTGAGAGAAGAGGTTTCAGTTGAGAAGAAACCAGAAAAAGAATGCTGACAACATGAAAAAACAAGCCAGTTGAACATGCCAAAAGGATCACAGTAGATCTACAGCAATGGACCCCAACCAAAAGGAAATTGTTCAGATGTCAGAAATGGAATTCAGAATATGGATGGCCAATAAGATGAATGGCATTGAGGATAAAGTTGAAAACCAACACAAAGAAGCCAAAATATATTTCAGGACTTCAAAGAAAATGAAAAAGTTGCTAAAGACCTAGACAACATAAGAAAGGATACAAAAGAGTTCAAGGAAATGAAAAAGTCATTTAGCAAACTTCAAAATACAGCAGAAAGCTTCAATAACAGGCTAGCCCAAGCAGAAGAATCTCAGAGCTTGAAGACAAGGCTTTCGAACAAACCCAGTCAGTCAAAGATGCAGAGAGAACAATAAAGAAGAATGAACAATGATTCAGAGAAATGTGAGACTGTATGAAATGAGCCAATATGTGAATTATAGGTATCTCTGAGAAAGAAGAAGAAAAAGCAAAAAGTGTGGAAAACCTATTGAAGGGAATTACTGAGGAAGACTTCCCTGGTATCACCAGACATTCAGATATCCAGATACAAGATGGTCATCAAACACTGGGAAGATTCACAGCAAATAGGACATCTCCAAGACACACAGTCATCAGCCTGGCCAAAGTCAAAAAGAAGGAGAAAATTCTACAAGTTGCAAGATGAAAACAACAACTAACCTACAAAGGAAAACCTATCAGCTAATAGCAGACTTTTCAGCTCAGCTCTTGCAAGCCAGAAGGGATTGAGGCCCCATTTTTAGCCTTCTTAAACAGAACAATTGTTAGCCAAGAATTTTGTTTCCTGTAAAACTAAGTTTCATAAATGATGGAGAAATAAAGACTTTTCCAGACAAGCAAACAGTAAGGGAATTTGTCAATACTAGGCCTGCCCTACAGGAAGTACTCCAAAGTACCTGACTTCAAATTACACTACAAGGCTGTAGTATCCAAAACAGCATGGTACTGGTATAAAAGTAGAGACATAGATCAATGGAACAGAATAGAGAACCCAGAAATAAAACCATCTACCTACAACCAACTGATCTTTGACAAAGCAAACAGCAACGTACACTGTGGAAAGGAAGCCCTATTCAATAAATGGTGCTGGAAGAACTAGATAGCCACATGCATAAGAATGAAACAGGACCCCTATATCTCACCCTATACAAAAATTAATTCAAGATGGATAAAAGACTTAAATGTAAGGCACGAAACCATAAAAATCCTAAAAGAAAAAGTAGGAAAAACTCTTCTGGACATCAGCCTAGGCAAAGAATTTATGAATAAGACTCCAAAGGCAAATACAGCAATGACAAAAATAAATGGGACTTAACTAAATTAACTTCTGCATAGCAAAGGAAATAATCGTCAGAGTAAACAGACAACCTACAGCATGGGGGAAAATATTTTCAAATTATATATCTGATAAAGAGCTAATAGCCAGACTCTACAAATAAATCAGCAAGAAAAAAACAAACAACCCCATTAATACGTAGGCAAAGGACATGAACAGAAGATAGACAAATGGCCAAGAAACATATGAAAAAATGTTCAACATCACTAATCATCAGGGAAATATAAATTAAAATCTTAAGGAGATACCACCTCACCCCTGTCAGAATGGCTGTTATTAAAAAGCCAAAAAACAATTGATGCTGGTGTAGATGTAGAGAGAAATGAACACTTAAACACTGTTAGTGGGACTGCAGATTAGTATAGCCTCTGTGGAAAACAGTATGGATACTCCTCAAAGAAGTAAATGTAGACTTATTATTCGATTCAGCAATCTCACTACTGGGTATCTACCCAAAGGAAAAGAAGTCATTATATCAAAAAGACAACTGCACTTGAATGTTTATCACAGCACATTCACAATTGCAAAGATGTGAAATCAACATAAGTGCCTATCAATTCATGAGTGGATAAAGAAAATGTGAGATATATATGTAGAATATATTCCATATATATGTATATATATTCCATGTATATATTCTGTATATATATTCCATATATATATATTCCACATCTATGTGGAATACTACTGAGCCACAAAAAAGGAATGAAATAATGTCTATTGTAGCAACTTGAACAGAACTGGAGGCCATTATCCTAAGTGAAGTATCTCAGGAAAAACAAACACCACATATATTAACTAATAATTGGGAGCTAAACCATGGGCACACATAGGCACAAAGAGATGTAAAGGATAATGGAAACCAAGAAGGGAGTGGTAGAAGGGGAATGAGGGATAAAAACTATTGGGTACAGTGATCACTATTATGGTGACAGGCACACTAAAATCCCCAACTTAAGTATCCATGTAACAAAAATATTTATACCACCTTAATATTTTGAAATAAAAATAATAATAAAAGAAATTCAAATTAAAACTACCCTGAAATACCTTGTTTTTTAATTGCTGAAGATCAAAAAGTCTTGATAACTAATTGTGTTGTGATGAGGATGTTTGGAAATAGCTCCTCTCATGCAAATTGCTGGGAGTGTAAATTGGTACAACTCCAGCAGAGGGAAATTTGGTAATAGCTATTTAAATACAAGTTCATGGATCTTTTAATCCTTTGCTCAGGTAATTCACTTCCAATTAATTTATCTTCAGATAAATGTTCTCATTAAGATCATCAATGACCACCACATTTTTAAATCTAGTGGTCCACTCTCAGAGTCATTTTGACTTGTTATCAGCGTTTACTCAATCTTCCTTGAGGTACTTCTCTTTTCCTGGCATTCAGGACCCCATACTCTCTTGATTTTATTCCTCCCTCCCTGGCTTTTCCAGCTGCTAAGTGTTGGAGTCCCCTAGAACTTAGTCCTTGCCTTCTTTTCTATGTATACTTACTTCCTTGGTTTCTATCAATTCACATGGCTCTAAACACCATCTGTATGCTGATAGCTTGCAAATTTATATTTCAAGGCTAGGCTGAACTCCAGATTTTTCTATCTTATTTTCACAAAGTCTCTGGTCAGAGCCATACTACTCTTGCACCTGTTCTCCCTGCATCTGCCATTCCACCCTTCAGTTTCTTCTTTTTTAAAAAAACAGCTTCATCAAGATATGATATAATTGACATATCATATACTTCACCCATAAAGGGTAAAATTCTATGGCTTTGAGTATATTCACAGAATTATACAGCCCCCACCATTATCATTACCTCTAAAATTGAAACCCCATATACATTAGAAGTCACTCTCTGTTTCCTTCTAACCATCGTGCCAACCCCCCTCCCCTCCCCTCCAGACCTAAGCAACCACTTATCTACTTTGGACATTTCATATAAATGGAATCATACACTATGTGGTGACTGGCTTCTTTCATTTAATATAATGTCATCATGGTTCATTCATATCGTAGCATGTGTAAGTACTTCATTTCTTTATTGCCAAATAATATTTCATTGAATAAATATACCACCTTTTGTTTTTCCATTCATCACCTGATGAACATTTGGGCAGTTTTTCCTTAAGACAGCATTCTCAAATGATTGTATTAAAATGGAAGTCAACTCATGTAACTCCTCTGCTCAGAAACTACCGGTGACTCCCCATCACACTCTGAGTAAAAGTCAGATTCTCCACAGTGGCCTACAAGGGCCTACATATTCTACATGTACTTTGCCCTCACTTTTTCCTTCCATCCAAACTGGCATCTCTGCTATTCCGCACACATGCCAGGCATATTCTTGCAGCAAGGCCTTTCCACTTGTGGTCTTCTTGCCTGAAATGTCCTTATCCCAGATACCTGGATGACTCGCTTCCTCTCTTCCCTCAGGTCTTTACTCAAATGTTACCATCTCAGTGAGGACTTTCCTAGGGAAATATGCTCCTGCATTCCACCACCCACAGCCCCCAACATAGTTTATCTACTTTTCTGCATTATTTTCCTCCATGGCACATATTACTAGCATATTTATCCCAATTATTTACATCGTTTATTGTCTTCCTTTCTCTACTAGAATGTCAGCTCCATGAGGGCAAGAATTTTTGTCTATTTTGTTTAATGCTCCATTCTCAGATTTGGAAAAATACCTGATGGACAATAGACACTCAGTATATATTTTGCATGAATAAATGAATGAATAACATTGTCTCTGGAGAGGAAACTAGCAGGGTGGATAACAAGGTTGAAAGAAGATATATTTTGCTATATATTGGTTCATACCTTTTAAATTTTGAATCCTATAAATATATTACCAATTAAAATTAAAATTAGTTATGAACAGAGGTATACAATTACATAGGACTTAGTAAAGAAAAATTGATTTTGTGGGTTTTATTGCAGACTTCAAGGCAGTCCAATATATTTAGCAAGAATCTGAAATTATAGTAGAGACAAGCTGTAACTTAATTCCTCCCAGGTTCTTGTAAGGTCTCCTGAAAATGAAAGGTAGTTTTGGTATAAATAGTTTGATAGTGACAAAATGTGTTTTTTTACTCACCTTAAAGTTTGATAGCAGTACTGTAATTTAATGCAGTCTTATAAAATATGGCCAAGATTACATTTTTTATCCTAGATGCAGGGGGAAGAAAAGCTTTCACTTGTCTATACCACCCAGATTTCCAAGTCTTTGTGTTTTCAGAGACTTTACTGAGTGCCCCTAAAATCATGACACCCATTTCTTTCGAAGCTCCTCGTCAAGCAACCACTTGTGTACAAGAAGGTTTAAAAAAATGTGTAAAGGTAAAACCAAATTAGCCAAAAGTACAACTTAGATACTTTCTGAGCAGCTGCTTCCTGGCTTTCCCCCTACCTGGTCCATCGCCATGTACTGTGCTGGTGTTCACATCTAGGGTTTTACATGAGAGAACAAACAGTGCTCAAGTGCAATGGAGGAACAGACCTCAGGTCTCTCCCACCCAGACTCTTTTGAAGGTTGGGTATAAGAAAACATAAACCTGCAGACAATGAAGTGTTTTTTTGGTTTTGTTTTTCCTGATACAGGGTCAAGGAAATGATTCCTGCAAGGCCTCCCCTTACCCGCCGGACAGGAGGAGCTCAGAAGGCAAGTGCCAAAGCTAAGGTGAAACTCTGAGTAATAAGATGTTGAGGCACGCATTTGAAAATTGCATGAACTCTTTAATGTGTCTTCCAGTTGGGTGCAAACTTGTTTGAAGCTTTACATATTTTCGCGCTGGTTCCATTGTGATCAGTGGCATATAGAGAATAGCAGACAATGTCTAATCTTTGGCTGATGGTCTCTGAGCTGGGAAGAAAAGGGCACTTTAGAGAATTATTGAACATAAAACCCAATCTGGTTTTATTTTATTTTATTTTTGAGACAGAGTCTCACTGTGTTGCCCGGGCTAGAGTGCCGTGGCGTCATCCTAGCTCACAGCAACCTCAAACTCCTGGGCTCAAGCGATCCTACTGCCTCAGCCTCCTGAGTAGCTGGGACTACAGGCATGCGCCACCATGCCCGGCTAATTTTTTCTATATATTTTAGTTGTCCAATTAATTTCTTTCTAATTTTAGTAGAGACGGGGTCTCGCTCTTGCTCAGGCTCGAACTCCTGAGCTCAAACAATCCACCCGCCTCGGCCTCCCAGAGAGCTAGGATTACAGGCGTGAGCCACCGCGCCCGGCCCCAATCTGGTTTTAGAATTCCAAAGAGGTCTTGACCTCTTTGAGGCCTCTTTACCGAGCATTTTATATTTTCCTAGGCGGTGAGTGACTACCACTCACAGATCAAGAACATTTCTAGAGCCATTTTGGATGAGTACCACAGAATGTTTGGAAAACAGGTGGCCAAACTGGGGAATGATATAGATAGTGAAACCCTGGAGGAGCAGAAGTGCCAGCTCAGCTATGAACTTAATTGCTCTGGAAAATACTTTGCTTTCAAAGAACAACTCAAGGTAAAACATTCATTTATTTAATTATCCCATGGGTTTTTATGGAGCGCCTTCTCTACATACCCAGTTAACGTTTTCTTCTCTGATTACATTCAGCTGCACTGCTACCTTCCTTGCTGTTGGTGCAGAGAGCTATGTTCTCTACGATAGAATGTCAGGAGAAGCTCCATTCTTGCAGTCTTGGAAGGGTTTAGTATCCATCTGAGTGTGAGCTTTTAAGCAACTAATTCTTCACTTGAGGCTAGGCCAGATTTTGGTCCAGATTTTACTGTTGCTCTAGGAGGCAGAAACCCTGTCTGGTACTGACTCCATAACTAATTCACTTTGGTTCACATTCATATCTCTCTCTCATGCATAGAATCACTAAGATTTGAGAAATAGTTAACGTAATAGTAATTTTTTGAATAATAATGGCTAACATTTATTGAGTGTTTGCTGTATCTAGGCAAATTTGTCAGTGCTTCATATTTTACTAATTTAATCCTTATAGCAACACTATCAGGTAGGTACTCCGCATTTTACAGATGGGGAAATGAAACATTAGTTGGTTAAGTTATTTGCCCAAGGTCACAGGGATAATAAAGGTCACAGTCAGGATTCACACTCAGCAGTCTGGCTCCAGAACTCATATGCTTAATTGCTACACTACACTACCTCTGTATACACATTTACTACGTGTCCTGTACTGTGCTAAACGGATACAAAGAAAGAATGTGGAAGTAATAAAGTGAAAAACAACTGACGCTAATGGAGGCAAGAGTGTATTCTCAGCAGGTGGTGTAGCCATGTCTCGGTTTGATTCCTGGTTCTATCTTTACTAGCTGAGTGACCTTAATTTTATCTTTCTGTGCCTCAATTTCTTTATCTAAAAATGAGGGATAATAGTATCACATGGGGTCATTATGAGAATTAAATCATACAATACATGGAAAGTACTTAGTAAAAAATCTGGCGATAATGTTACTTTAGGAAGAAAAGAAAAAAGAAGCAGCAGCTGTCCTGGCCATAGCAACATGCTATGTTCATATCTGTACAGCATTTTAAGCTTCTACACCTGTTACCTCTTTTTGGTTTCTCAATCATCTTCTGAAATGAGATAATAATACCAGAACTGCATATCCACTTTAACAAATGAGGAAAGAGAGGTACAAAAGTGTAAAATGATTTATGAGGTTGTATAGTAGCAGCATTAGAACTAGAATTCCATTCTCTGGACTCTCAGACCAGGGCTTTCTCCCTTTCTCCCTTGAGCTGTATGGCCACTATGACACAATGCTTAAACCTAATGCTAAAGTTTTCTTCAGCTCTATGGCTCTCTTCACATGGTATGAGTCCTGCATTGCACCTGTTAGTGATAATGATGATGTCAAGGAAAGAAGGAGTCATACAGAGTATGTTGATTGGAGGAAAATCAGAGAGCCAATAGTCTACCAGCCAACAAGGGAGAAATCAATCACCTTCTGAAGTTTTGATCAGCCTTAGACCAGAAGCTCTACAGAGATCTATGCTGTCAGCAGATATTAGACTGCTATCAGATGGATGATCTGTGTTTCTTGCAGCATGCTGTGGTAAAGATTGTGAGAGAGAAATACCTGAAGACAACATCATTTGAAAGCCAGGAGGAACTACAGACATTTATCAGTGAGCTCTATGTGTTCTTAGTAGATCAGATGCATGTGGCCTTGAACCAGGTAGGTGTCAAGAACTGAGAGCCCTTCCTTTTCTCTGTAGAACACCAGGGACTCCTATGAATGGTTCCTTCCTTCCTGCTTCCTTTATTCAAAAAATATTTATTGAGGTGTCTGCTCTGTGTTACACTGAAAGCACAAAGATGAATAGTAGAGACTGCCTAAGTTATAAGACTTAGGGAAGAACAAGGAGATATGCTCTTTCAATTTCTTAGAAAAATAAATGTCATTACTTTGAAAAATGTGATAGAGGGGCCAGGTGCGGTGGCTCACGCCTGTAAGCCTAGCACTCTGGGAGGCCAAGGAGGGAGGATTGCTTGAGCTCAGGAGTTCAAGACCAGCCTGAGCAAGAGCGACACCCCATCTCTATTAAACATAGAAAAATTAGCTGGGCGTCATGATGCATGCCTGTAGTCCCAGCTACTCGGGAGGCTGAGGCAGGAGGATCACTTGAGCCCAGGAGTTTGAGGTTGCAGTGAGCTACAATGACGCAACTGCACTCTAACCACAGCAACAGAGCAAGACTCTGTCTCAAAAAAAAAAAAAAATAGAATTGTCAAAAATAGATAAAATAGGCTATGTAACTTGTGAAATGAAAATTATCATTCCACTTATTATGGAAACATGTACAATTATCAATTCTTTCTTCAAGATAGTAAAAACAAAGAAAAACTATGAGTTTTCAGATATTACCACCCAAATGATAGTGACACTTGAAACATGCCTTTTCTATTTGATTGGCAATCTGCTCTCCACTCACTTGTCTGTTTATATCTTTATTTGTACAGCTTGCATCTTGCTTTCATCTGCTTATTTTTGTACAGTTGTGGTTTATTTGAAAACAATGACAAAATCCATTTTTTTTTTTGTCTCCCTGGTAGTCTCTAACCAGCTATGCTTCTCAAAACCTCTATTCTATTTGCTCTTTCCTTCATTGTGGTTTTTCGTCTCTACCACCATCACCATTTCTTTCACTTTGTTCAGCCTTCCTGGAAGAGATAGGAAAGGAGTGTCCAGTATCATGAGTTTAAGAGAGCAGTCCTGCCTTGGGCATGGATGATTTGGATAATTTGATTTAGAAAACAGTTGAGAGTTGAGCATGAGCAAAAGAAGTTTTAAGTTTTGAGGAAAAACCTCATTAGCAGTGGGAGCAATAAATTAAATTATTTTATACTAGGTTGTAGTATGATCAGGTTTAAATTTGCTAAAACACTCTGATAGCAGTATGGAGGATGGGTTAGAGGTGGTAAAACTGGTGATGTTAGCTGGTTATTGCATAATAAGGAGGAAGGAGAGTCAAAGATTCTTAAGTTTAAGGTTCAGTGACTGGGTGATTGATATTAACATTAACCAGGACATGGAATACAACATGAGTACATTTGGTGGGAGGCAGGTGATGTTGAATTCAGTTTTGGCTCCAGTGGGGTTTTGCTCAAGAGAGAGATCTGAACTAGAGGTGGGATTTGCGGAGCCATGACATATGGGTGCTATGGTCATAGATGAGACTGCCTAAGGAAAACATAAGTAAAGAGAAGAAAGCTGGCAGTGGAGCCCTAGGAAACACCAACATTTAAGGGATGAATGAGTGAAAGAGTTGCAGGAGACAAATAGAATTGTTAAACAGGCAAAAAACCCAGAAGACAGTGGTGTCACAGAAACCAAGGAAAAATAATTTTAAGAAGAAAAGGTGGTCGACGTTGTCAAACATTCCTAGGAATTAAAGAATAAAATCTGAAAAGTTTTCATTGGATTTGGTAATAGGGGATTATTGTTAACTTTTACATAGCAATATCATTGGGATAATGCTAGGATTCAAATTATAATGAATTGAGGAGTAAATGAGCAATTAGGAAACAGACGAATATAAATTCAGGAAGTTGGACAAAGAAGGAAAAAAGTGGTCAAGTAGTACCTAGAAATTACGGAGATTTTCTTTTTAAAATGGAAGAACCTCGAGCACATCTACAGGTTTGGGAAAAGGAATTAACAGAGTGGGAGAAGTTGAAAATTGAGGAAAGAGAGGAGGGTAATTGATGGTAAGCCCAGGGTATACAACTGAGAAAGAACCAAGAATTTAAATGGAAGGATTAGCCTTGAAACAGAGAAGGTTGTAATGCTTCTTCCTCTGAGACTGAAAGGAATGGGATACAATAGATGCAGAAATAAATAATTTAGCTAGGGGATTTAAAAATTGAAGGATTTCTTGCCTAATGATTTCTATTATCTCTGTGAAGTAGGATCTTTACTGAAAGTGAAGGGGATAAGGGTCAAATGAAAAGCTTGAAGAAAAGAGGAAAATTTAGATACTGCATAGCATTATGGGATATGCTACTGAATAAGGACAAATACATAGATTACTAAGAGTATTAAAGGTCTTCAGCTAAGACCGAATCCCATAAGAGTCTGGTGGCTTAGATATCTCTGTCCCTGTACAGTTCTCCTTAAGACCAGTGAGTGTTCCCGTTTAAGAATGAAGAAGTCATAGGTAGGAGAGATTTCAGAACAAGTGCAGGTGAAGGACAAGGATGCCTGAGATTTGATTATGCTGGTGAGAGAATTTTATCAGTGGGTAATCATCAGGTCCAGGCTGATCCATTTGGAAAATGATGGGCTTATTGGAAATGAAGGAAATAAAGTCACAGAGCAGTTTTAAGTGACTAAGTGACAAAAAGGTGGAAGGCTTGGAATGTTGGTTCTGGGAGTGGGATATTAGAGGTAAGTTGGGTGTAGAAGTGTGTTGCTGAGGGGATTTAGAGGTCAAGATCATCAAAACTAAAAAGAACAAAGAACAAAAGCACTAGTGAAGTGATTAGAAACTCTCTTTGGCCCATCTCAAATTTGGCTTTACTCTCCACATTCCCTTGCATCTGTACTTGTTAAAGTTACTGATATTATTTTTACTTCTAATTAAAGAATTTTTTAGGCTCTTTCTTGGCCATAGCCTCTGACCCAGGATATTACTAATTACACCAGACCTACTCTCCCAGTCTGGATGTATAGGATATATTCTTTTTCTGGTTTACCTCCTACCTTTCCTTCTGTCTCCTTTGTAGGATCGATCAGTCTATACATCCCCCTAAAACTATAGATCTGGCTTCCAAAGCTTTACCTTTATTCTCTTGCTTTCCCCATATTTAAAGACCTTGGCTAGTGCTTGCCAACCTTTTCATGTCATAGAACCGAAAAAATGGAAATATTTGTCCTATACATTAGAGAAAATGAAGGAAGCTATTTGAGGTCAGAGGTGATCTGCGTGGGGACTTTGACTACCCTGTGGGTTGAGGAGAGTTATTTCTGCCCTAAACAATTTTTACTCACTTCCATGGGCTCAGACTGGTGGTATTTAGATACCTGAGCTTCTCTCTTACCCTTGATATTTCTCTCTTGGTTCACTCTTTCTCTTACTGTATTGGCAAGACTGTAAGAAACATCAATATCATTTTAGATGGCATGACTGGGTCTCACATCCAATTTGTGCTTATAAAACCTCTCTACCTGTAATTGCTTTCTTTTGTCTGCTTAACATCTTGACGTGGACAAGACCATGCCAGATGATATCCAAGACACTATTTCAACCATTTATACAAGCAGTGAACAGCTTCGACTCTTTGCATTTGAAGCAGAAATCAATGAGAACTTTGAAATGGCGGCAGTGTATTATGAGGAGGTAATTAAACATCTTCCCAGTGGTTGCAATTACTATTATTTTTGAAATATGGGTATAAGTAGTAATTTTTGATAGTTTAAAATCAAACTTTATTGGTGAAAGGGTAGATACATAGATCAATAAAACAGAGTCTAAAAATAGGACCACATAAGTAATGTCATTTGATTTTTGACAAAAGTGTACAAAAAATTCAATGGCGAAAGGACAGTCTTTTCAATAGTGTTAGAACAATTGGTTATCCATTTGCAAAAAGAAGTGAACCTTGATATAAACCTTAAACATTTTACAAATATCAATTCCAAATGATTCATATATTTAAATGGAAAATATAATACCATAAAAACTTTAGAAGAAACACAGGAGAAAATCTTCTTGACCTGGAGTTAGATAAAGAATTCTTAAACATGACACCAAAGCACAATTGACCAAAGAAAAATGCGATAGATGGAACTTCATAAAAATTAAAAACTGTTACTTTATGGAAGACATAAAGAAAAAGTACAGATTAGGAGAAAATATTTGCAAAATATATATCTGACAAAGGGTTTGTATTCAGAATATAAAGAACTCTCAAAACTCTAAAATGTTTGTGTATAAACATTTGTTTCAGTACCTGTTTTTAATTATTTTGGGTATATACCTAAGAATGAAATTACTGAGACATATTTAACTTTTTGAGAATTTTGAGGATTTTGATAGGGATTGCATTATATCTAGATTGCTTTGGGTAGTATTGACATCATAACAACATTGTCTTCCAATCCATGACCATGGAATGTCTTTCCATTTATTTATGTCTTTTTTAATTTCTTTAAGCAATTTTTGTAGTTTTCACTCATCATAAGGTGCTTTTTTTCAAATTTTTAGATTAACATATTTGTCATTTCAAGATTATGGCAGAAATTATTATAAATCATTGATATACCATAAAATGAATCTTTAGGTTCCCCAATTATTAGATGAGTTTAGGGTGACCAGAATACTGACACTAGGAAGAAATGACTTGATGATTCAATTTTTAAATTATTTCATCAAGTGTTTTTTGACCACCTACTAACAGCCAGAACAGTGATTGTGCTAGCCATTTGGGATTCAGTGGTAAGCAAAAAAAGAAGTCATGGCATTAGCTTTCATAGAACTTACAGTATTTATGGAATGTTTACTGTGTGATGTTATATGCATAAAAAATAGGACATAGTGTCACAGTAACCTTGGCCTTCCTGATGCTTTATGTGCCTAGAGGTTGGTCCGTGACCCACAGAACCTCGATCACTGGCTGGACTATGGCGCCTTCTGCCTTCTAACTGAAGACAACATCAAAGCACAAGAATGTTTTCGGAAAGCTCTTTCCCTCAACCAGAGTCATATTCACAGGTATAGGTGGAAGGGAGATAAAGAATGAGTAGGAACAGATAAGCTTCTACATGAAATTGTCTTGGTTCCATGAATGTTCCATGTGACCATGTCGGTGCTCTCTTTTCAGCTTGCTGCTGTGTGGTGTCCTGGCTGTTCTGTTGGAGAACTATGAGCAAGCAGAAATTTTCTTTGAAGATGCCACTTGCTTAGAACCAACCAATGTTGTAGCCTGGACTTTACTTGGTATGGTATTTTCCTGTGATCTGAATGTGGGTTTTTTTTTTTTTTTCCCATTATAAGAGTCTCTCTTTCCCTTTCTACTCTTAAATGACTCATCAGATAGTTCTTAAACTTGGTAAAAACATGGGAAAAGTAAGTGAAATGTTACAATTCTTCACTTTATGGTGGTGGGAAATTAGTCATATTTCAACATCTTTCTTTCCTCAGGTTTGTACTACGAAATTCAAAACAATGACATTCGAATGGAAATGGCATTTCATGAGGCATCCAAACAGCTTCAAGCACGAATGCTTCAGGCACAAACAACAAAGCAAAAGAGCACTGACAGCTCAGAGTATGTTGAAGAAGGCGGGAAAATAGGATCCAATTTAGGCCCTTGGGGACCCACAAATGTTTCGTCTACAATACCAGTCAAGGTGGAAGCCTCAGCAGGTAGGGCCAGGGAATGGAGAGGATGAATGACTATTGGGAAAATTACTGGCCTTAAGAATGGGAGCTGGCATGTAGTGAGCGCTCAGTAAATATTTTTTAAGTGAATGTGTACATGGACTTTGAGTTACTTTAGGGATACGAGGAAAGACTCCTTACTTCTGAATATTTTCTCTTTCATACAGTTGGCAGTCTGAAGCTTCTACTGTTGAGATTCAGATTTTTTAATCTTAGGGAATTTACTGTCTGTATAAGTATTCCTAAAAGGGGCACATGACTTGGATAAATATATGGAAGTTGCATGGCTGGGACCGTGGATTATTTAGCAGTGTGCTTTTTATTTTCTGAATATTTGGGGATTTTTCCAGATATCTTTGCTTTTTTTTTTTTTGAGACAGAGTCTCACTGTGTTGCCCGGGCTAGAGTGCCGTGGCGTCAGCCTAGGTCACAGCAACCTCAAACTCCTGGGCTCAAGCAATCCTACTGCCTCAGCCTCCCGAGTAGCTGTGACTACTGGCATGCGCCACCATGCCCGGCCAATTTTTTCTATATATTTTTTAGTTGTCCAATTAATTTCTTTCTAATTTTAGTAGAGACAGGGTCTCACTCTTGCTCAGGCTGGTTTCGAACTCCTGAGCTCAAACAATCCACCCACCTCGGCCTCCCAGAGAGCTAGGATTACAGGCATGAGCCACCGCGCTTTGGTTTCCTTTGCTAGCTTTTCTTTCTGGTCACACTCGTAAGATATAATCATTTCCCGGTAATCCAGTGTTACTTTCAAAAAGCTCTAACTCTCAAATTTCTATCTTTAACCCTGACATCCTCCTATAACCCCGCAGTTGGATTTTTCTACTAGTAAACTCAACTCCTCATCTTCCAAATTGACTCTACATCATTATAGAGTCAATTTTCTCTTCCTTCCTTTCTTGAGCTTTCTCATCCCTCTATCAGGTTAATCCCCAAGACCAATTGGTTCTCTTTCAAAATGCTCCTTGCATCTCCCTTTAGATTTTCACTACTCTCCATTACCAAATATCCAGATTGTTGTAGCAGAAACAGACCTCTTCGTGTCCATCCCCAATTTTTTCTCCTTGCTACATAGCACTGCTAAAGTAATCTTCATATAATACCACTATACTCTAATTTTTCTGCTCAAAGCTCTTCAAAGTACCCCCTTCTCTTTCCAATAGGAGAAAAGTCCTGGAATTCAACTATCAATACAGTCTAGCCCCAACCTACCTTTCCCTTGATTTTCCCTGTGAAATCCTCAATACCCATTAAAATAGTTAGCTCACTATTTCTATGCTTTTGCCAGTGGCATGCTCCCAGCCTTGAATACCCCTCCCTCTTTACCTATCCATTTCTACCTATTTTTCAAGGCCATATTTTTGCCCTAGCCAAGAGTGACCTTTTCTGATTTGTGGGCCAGCTAGCACTGATCATTTCCTGCCCGGCATTGCTTTTTGGTTTTATTTGTCAAACATTTATTTGAGAGGCAGCACAGCATGTTTAAGAGCTTCAGCAGATTATTTAACTACTCTGTGATTTACTTTTTTAAAATGAGCCTTATAAAAATAATATCTCATAATGTGAAAAACAAATGAGAGTATACATTAAAGTCCATAGTACAGTACCTGGCATATAGACATGTTCAAATATAGCTACATTTACTATTAGTATTATTTGAACACTGAGATGAGTAGAATTCCTGTCCTTTAAGGGCTTTTATATTATCTAAAAATGTATTAATCTTCTCATCTGGATTCTTGAGATTCTGGATTTATTAAGTGACTTTTAAAATAGGGATCTGTTTGAAATTGTCATGACTTGGACTAGCATCAAGGTTGTACTGGGAGGTAACAGTGATGGGAACTGTACTGTCAGTTTAGCTAGTATTCTTTAAATTATTCAGAAATATTAACAAGTCTACTAAACAAATCTGTCCTTCATGCAATATTTAGGGAATATGTTTCTTAGGCTTCACAAATAATCTTTTAATACCCAATATAGGAAGTTTTTTTTCATTAAAATTTAATCATTTAGTACCAGGAGCTGCATTATCCATTCCAGATGAATTTCTTGAAGAATCCTCCAAACTTCAGTCTGATTCGCGAGAACCCATTTTGACTACACAATTTCAGGATCCAAGTATGGGCCCAAAACCATCTAACATATTTCTCAAGGAAATACCAGGAAAAAAAGGTAACTGGATAAAAGATTTCCATTTGGAGGAGGGGCATAAACAAACTAGACAAGGATGAAAACTCTTATGGTTATAAAAGTGGCAATCCTGATTTGTTTGAAGTTGATTAGTTTATCTGTCACATTGCCCAAGTTCCTTCATGTTAGGCTAGGCTCGGAGATCCAAACTCAGTGCTGTAACGCTTTCAATATGCAAGCAGTTTATATTTAGCTCACAGAAGTAGCCAACTACAGACCTATGGTTTTCTAACAATTCTTCATTTTTAAAATATCTACAGTTGTTTCACATTCAAGGAGATCTGAATATTTTTTTTAAAAAACCTTTTTATTTGGTTGTGACTTGCATTTGGAACCACTAGTAGATTCACCTCAAGAACATTTAAATTCTTCTCTTTGGGGACCATTGCGAAAGAGCAGTCTGTTGCTTTTCAGATTATGCTCCTCTCATGTATGAGATCAGAATACTCTGCCTGCTATGTTAGTGTGTCGAACTTCTGACATTTTTTCTATTACATCTAATCTATCCTTTTTTTTCAGAAGCATCAAAATGTCAAGATTCATCAGCTTTTCTGCATCCTGTCCATTATTACGGTGTTTCCCAAACTCCTTCTACCACTATCTTCATGGAGACCATACGTTTCTTGATGAAAGTTAATGCTGTGCAGGTCAGAATATTTGGAAAAGGGCAAGTAGATGGAAAGACTTTAGTGAACTTCTTATTGTATCCATAATGGTATCTATGCAAGTTTAGATACATGTGAAGTAGAAATAAAAATATGCTTTTAAAAGCACACCTTAAGCCCAATAGGAAGAACCTCCAAACATAAATCACTCTCTGCAGGTGGCATCAGAAGACCTCTCTGCAAGTCTGCTCCCTGTAGAATACCAGCAAAGTCAGATTCTAAGTCATATGTTGCCTGAGGTTACTTTGTTATGGGAATTCATATCATGTGAGTGTTGGGGGTTCACAGGAGCCTAAACATTCCCTTCTTACCTTCCAGGTTCTGAACCAATTGGAAACATACATAGTGCTATATTGGGGGGAGGGATAAAAATATTAAAGCTGGGCTGAAGAATGTAACTGGTCCCACGTTTGACCTACCCGTGCAGTCACAGGTAGAGCAACTGAAGAATTGAAGCCTCCTCCCAGAGAAGAAGAGCATCCTGTGAGGTCTACCTACCACATGAGAAACAAGAAGCATATCCAAGAGCAAGCAGTAGGAGAGAGAGCAAGGTTCAGGAGCGAAGAGTGTTGGCCCTGATCTTGCAGAGTGCTTTCCCCATTTGAGGGCAGGCTAGCTCAGGAAAGGGCACTAATTACAAACTGAGTGGGATTAGGCCACATTAAACAGGAGCCTTTAACACATTAACCCTTCCCAATAGAGAAATAGGCTTCTCACCACCTCCCAGGTAAGTAAGTCATTAATTATCCCCCCAGGTCAGAGAGCCAGAAGGCAGGCAGAGAAAACAGCTGCAGCTACATTCGTTCCCTCTAGTATTTTCCTAAGAAGGCATAAGTGTTAGTGCAAGTTTCTATATTCAGGATGAGATGGAAACAGAGGGAAAAGAAAAGAAGGATTTCCTTCGGCTTAGCAAGTACATCTGACTTTGTCAAATTTGTAGGTAAAACAAAAGTTGGCCCAAAGTATAAAACTGGTAAACGAATGTTTGGAGGTGCATCACAAACAGACCTTCATGTTTCCAAGATCCTACGTCTAGAATTTTAGAAGGGCAGTTTTACCTCACTGTAAGTTTTCTTACAATGATAGTTGCCTGAAAATATTACCTCACATGTAAATGGGGTGGTTGATGATGTACCTTTGCTGCATAATAAATACAGTCTAACATTCGCCTAGTGTGATGACCAGCAAGACCAAAATTGTGAGATATTGCAGGTTATTCACTTGGAAATATCTTCATTTGGTGACTAAGCGAATAGCTAGTAATGGAACCATGGAGTGCTGAATGTTTGTAATTCACCCCTAACCTTTTGAAGTTAAGGATAATCATTTCACTCAATAATATGTTCCTTATTATTTATTATCAGAGACAGAATCCTTCAACTTTGAAAGCTATGGGACTGACACAATCTAGCCCTTTACATGTTCCTTATAATCTGATTTTCCTTGCAGTACGTGCGCAGAGTGCTTGCACATGAGCTGTTATGCCCTCAGGGCGGCCCCAGCTGTGAGTATTACTTGGTGCTGGCCCAGACACACCTTCTCAAGAAGGACTTTGCCAAGGCAGAGGAATACCTTCAACAAGCATCCCAGATGGACTACCTGGTAATGACTTTTGCTAGAGCCTCTTGAGTCCAGAGAAGGGGCGAGCAGTCTTTATTAAAGGTGGTGATGCCATATTCCTGGAAGATTTATGGTGACCAGCAGTGGGGGTCTTCAGCTGTCCGTAGACGCATGTGTTCTATTTGTTTTTCTTAAGTAATCATGAGTTTTGCAAAAGGCAGAGAAAAGAATAAGGGCAGTTTTTTAGCAGATAGTGTTTATCTATTTTAACTTTTCTAGACTTCTATTTTCTCACTGTGAACACTATCATGGTAATACTTGGAGGTTTTTTTTTTTTAATATTTACCCCGAAGGCAAAATGGCTTTTAAGAATGCAAGAAAGAAATGAGAAGGCAGACCTAGAAAAATATTTCCCAGTGCAGTTAAATGGTTCTCTTTCTAACTGAGTGCTCTTAGAAAAAGACAATGTATTTAATATAAATTTAAATGTTAAACAAAGGTCATTAAGGTATTTTAAGTATCATGTCATCCCATATACTACTTGTTCTTCATGTTCTCAGAACCCTAATGTCTGGGGTGTGAAGGGCCATCTCTATTTTCTAAGTGGAAATCATGCTGAGGCCAAGGCATGCTATGAGCGAACCATTAGTTTTGTAGTAGATGCTTCTGGGATGCACTTCATCTTCCTGCGACTGGGTCTTCTCTATCTGGAAGAGAAAGAGGTAAGGGATAGAGGATGGGGAGTATCCATGTAAATCAAGCCATGGTCTGGGACCTAATTGTAGTTCAAGCATTAACATCTATCTGTGTCTGTGGACTAAAAATAGTAATATGACAATGACACTTTTACATCCAAAGACAAAGTGACTTGCCCAACATCAGATGACCAGTAATTAGTGGAAGCAGGATTCAAACCCAGGCAGTCTAAAATGAAGAGTCTATGGTTTTAACCATTATGCTACTAAAAAGTTATCAAGAACTCAGTAAATGAGTTATGTTTTAGCTACTAAATTTAGCTACTAAATTTTAGCTACTATTTTAGCTAAAATTTTATTTTATCAGCAGTAGTAAAAACTTTATTTTCAGTAGTAGAAACATTCTTGGCTTGACTTAACTAACAAAGTGTCATGGGCTTCAAAATGACTTCTCCAAACTTCCTATTCAACAAAAAGGGTTATATTTAATCTAGCTGAGGCTAACCTCATTCCATAGGGCACTCCGACCTGGCTATAGAAGCACTCTCTCCTCATATTTTGGGAAACATGCCAAGGTCTTTGGAAAAAAACCTTTCTCTTACAGAAAATTTCAAATAAATACAAAGTAGACAGAATAGTAGAATGATCCACCATGGACCCACCATCTCACTATAACAATTATCAACATTCTGCCAAAGACCTTTTGACTCCCTGCTTTTGTTTTGACTTTATTCCATTTTTCCCCTCAGAATAGCCAACTCTTTTTTTATTTAATATAAAAACAACAACAGCAACAAGAAGTCACAATGCCTTATAACGTAAGTGGGAAGGCTCACATAGGCTTAAGAGAAATCACTATCCCATTGCAGTGAAGTAAATAAGGAAAAGTTTTCTTTCTATTGTCATTACAAGCTACATCTTCAGAGTGCTGTTGCCCTAAGCACTCACTAGGTAAGCAGTTCCCAGGCTGTTTGCTGAGGCAGAGCTATAGATCCATTTCTCACATTGGAGATACAAGACAAGAAATGGCCCCTTCAGGGCTATTTCTTTTGCAAGTTTGTTTTTTGAGTTTTTCTAAAATTCTAAGACCTTTTACAACAAGGGAACAGATTCTCAGAATGATGAGGCTATATCAAGTATATACCTCTTAGTGCAGAGATTGTCTGTCATCCTACTACATGGTAACAAATTTAAGCAAAAGAGGGCAGTCCATAAAGTCTAGGTGGAATTCAGATAATCATTGTGGTCACCCAGAATGTTCAATGTAACTCCTTGCCTCAACTCTTACAGAGGCTATAAATGTCTTTAGAACTGCTTCCAGGCAAAAATCTGCCCTTTCATTTGATCTATTCATCTCCCCTCACCAGGCTTCTTGTGATAGCTCCCTTAAAGTAAACATAACAAGTCAAGGACTCACTTAACTTAGGTTGTTCTGGAGTGCAGCTATGAAAAGTTCCCATGATCATCCTAGCAATAAAGTGTTTGAAGCTTCCAGAACAGTAGCTTAGTGGTGCTTTCTTTCTACAGTATGAAAAGGCAAAGAAAACCTACCTGCAAGCTTGTAAGAGATCACCTTCATGTCTTACCTGGCTAGGACTGGGAATCGCCTGTTACCGGGTAAGAGAAGGAAGGTTTGAGACTATGCCTGTGCATACAGCTGACCTTGATTCCTTAGTCTTCCAAGAACCCTGGGGTTTTTTGGTGACAGTGGGAGGGCAACCAGGGAAGTCTGCTCTAATAAAAAGTTGCTCTTCAGGCTGGGCATGGTGGCTCACATCTAGCACTTTGGGAGGCCGAGGCAGGAGGATTGGTTGAGGCCAAGAGTTCAAGACCAGCCTGGGCAACAGAACAAGACCCTGTCTTTACAAAAAAATAGAAAAATTAGCCAGGCATGGTGGCGCGCACCTGTAGTCCTAGCTACTTGGGAGGCTGAGGCAGGAGGATTGCTTGAGCCCATGAGGTTGCAGTGAGGATAATGATGCCACCGCACGCTAGCCCAGGCAACAGAGGAAAATAGAGCACCCTAGAGTCTCTGAATACTGTATTGATTGCTCAGGATTGGCCTGATAGTAACTGATATTAGGGGAAAGAAAACTTTCTAGACAATAGTATTTTGACAGGCAAATCAGACTTTAACCTCAAGAAAGAGATATACACATACTTTGGTTTCTCTTCAGATAGTATAAATTTTTTGCCTTTTACTAAAGATTTCCACGGAGAAAAAAGGGATGAATGTAAAGAAAAAACCTAGAAATGTATCTGACAGACCACTGTATATGGAGAAACCACTGAATGATGTACATGTGATGGGCATTCCTAAGGATTTCCAATCCTAGTACCTGGAGCTTCATGGTTTACAGATGCCCTGATGAGACTGCTGGAGAGGGAAAGAGGAGGAGAGGGGTATCAGTTGGGAACTTACTAGGCAGGGCTCCAGATTCCTCTACTTGGATTTTTAATCAGAGATGTTCCACTTTTAATCAGTTCATATACTGAACCATCACATAAGATTTTGTTCGAAGAAAGAGTTCTGATGCTAAAAATATAAAAACCATTGGTATAGGTCACACATATCAATATTACTTGGACAGAGTGGTTTCAGCTAAGCCTACTCTAGCTAGCAAAAGTGAAAACTACTTTGACTTACAACTCACACGTGTCATGTGTCCCCTTTCTGTCAAGCTGGAGGAGCTCACAGAGGCTGAAGATGCTCTCTCGGAAGCCAACGCATTAAACAACTGCAATGCTGAAGTATGGGCATATCTGGCTCTGGTCTGCCTGAAAGTGAGTGTTTATTATCCTTACACATTGCCCTATTAGGCCACAGAGGTGGGTATCAAGTAAGCCAGAAACAGAAGATTGCCATTAATGCATAATAGTTGAAGTTTGATGAGCTCTAGATTCGGTCATTATACCGATGACAAAAGAGAGGTCAAATCTGGGCAGCGTCTACTTGGCACGTGTTTAAAAATCATATGTTTAGGTATGTTTTTCTGGAAAGGAAGTTCTAAAAGTTGGAGCAATATTGTACCAGAACATAAACCAAATCAAAGATTAGTGAAGATGCTTCACTAGTCTTTCTGAATCATTTCTTCCTGTTGTAATGCTGGCTGAGGGTGCTTGTCCTTGATTCAGATGGGAAATTTGGTGGAGGTATTGTGGGAGTTCATGATAGGTACCTATTTTTACCTATTAATAATAACTCTTCCATAGTTAGACTTGAACAACTTGCATATCAGTCTAAGATCAAATTGGAAATAATGAGAGCAGCCCTCAGTTTTCCATTGGCCAATATGACAAAGGGACTATTATTATGATGAGAGAAATGAACAAAATGAAAATTACTGAATTTTCTCTTTGAAGTAAATATCCCAGATGTCAATATGAGAAATACCCGAGTTCATACCCCAGCTCTGTCCTATCTAGCTGTGGGATCTGAAGCAAGTCACTTAACTTTACTGGGCCCAGTTTCCTCATCTTTAAACTAAAAGAGTCAATAGGGAAGATCCTATTATGTTAATAATTCTCTCAGAAACTGATAGATCAAATAGGGAAAAAATAAGGATGTATACAGACATATATAACCCTATTAAAAGACTTGAGTTCAAACACCAATGTAGAACTCTGCACTTAACAATTAGAGGACACATATTCTTTTCAAGCACAAAGGAGTTATTCATAGATGTTGACCACATGCTAGAACACAAAGAGAGGTTCGACAAATACATACAGATCACACTGTGGTGAAATTATAAATCAATAACTAAAATATAGCCCAAAAAACTAATATACATTTGGAAACTTAAAGCATTCTTGTAATTAATTCATAGGTCAAAGAGGAAATCAAATATGAGGTATTATGCTAGGTAGAATTCTGAAGATGGCCCCTCTCCCCTAAGATTATTCCATCAAACACTAATCTAGGTACTGCTGTGAAGGGATTTTGCAGATGTAAATAAAGTACCAAATTAGTTCACCTTTAAATACAGAGATTATCTGGATGGGCCTGACCCAATCAGGCAAATCCTCTAAAAGCAGGGAGTTTTCTCTGGTCGGGGGTAGAAAGGAAGTCAGAGAGATTTGAAGCACAGAAAGCATCCAACACACCATTGCTGGCTTGAAGATGGAGAAGGACCACATGTCAAGGAATGCGGGTGGCATTGAGAAGCTAACAGCAGTCCCTGTTGAGAACCAGAAAGGAAATAGGGACCTTTATCCTACAAATACAAAGAACTGAATTCTGCCAACAACTTGAAGGAGCTTGGAAGTAGATTCTTCTCCAGAGCCTTCAGATAAGAGCCCAGCCCAAATGACACCTTGCCTTTGGTATTGTGAGACCCTAAGCACAGAACCAGTGGAATAATGTCAGGCTTCTGACCTATGGAAATGTGATATGATAAATGGGCATCGTTTTAAGCCACTAAATTGGTGGCAATTTGTTACACAGCAATAGAAGCCAATACAAGCCTTGTAGATTTTTATAGTAATGGCCTCCACTTTCATGTCTACACTCTTCGCAATGTGATATTGCCACTCACTCCCATCAAGAAATGGTGTCTCTTTCTTATTTCTCCATCCCTTTGAATCTAAGCAGAACTTGTGACTTTCTTTGACCAATGGAATATGGTGGAAGGGAGATTTTATGAATTGTCAGAGGCGAGACCTTTAGAAGCCCTGAGCTACTGCTCTTGCTCTCTTGAAATTCTGAGACCACCATGCCGTGAAGAAGCCCATTTTAGCCTAAGGAGGCTTGAAGTGAACATGGAAGAGAACTGAGTAACTTCAGCCAATAGCCAACATCAACTTCTGTTTGAGTAAGGTTATCTTGGACCCTGAGCCCTAGATCAGGTGACTACACCTGCATGAGCAACCTCAGCAAAGACCAGCAGAAGAATAGCCCAAATTGGCCAGAGAATTTTAAGAAATGATATGTTATGTTTTAAGCCATTAAGTTTTGAGTTGGTTTATTATACTTCAATAGATAACTGAAATGAAACTGAATTAAAAAAACCCATTATATATTAGAACTATTGGATAAAATTAAAGTAATACATAGAGGATAATTTATATCCTTAAATACACATATTAGAAACAGAGATTGAAAATCAATAAATTAATTATTTAAACCAAGAAAGTAGTAAAGGGAAATCAAGGAAACTCAAAGAAATGATATTTGAGAAAATGAAAAGGAGTAGAAATAAATGAAATCTTTAAAAGGACATAATACAGAAGATTAACAAAATCATAAG